GCCATGGATGCGGCAATGCCGTCAAACTCAGCCTCATTCCCATGGTTGCGAGTGATGTTTGCCTTCAGGCGATCAACCTGGTCATCACTGGCTTTGCGAATGCTCTCGCCTTCGCACTCCACGGACTTCTCCTTGAAGAAGGAAGACCTGTAGGTCAGGGTGTCAGCGGTTTTAACCCAAAACCGCAGCTGGCTGTTGTCTGGCCCTCCGAAATCATGAAGAATTTGCTCGCCACGGTTCTTCTTCTCTTCCCACTGCTTCCAAGTCGCCAAGGCCTGGTCGTCTGTCAATCGCCCTCCTCTGGTCGTTTGGGCGAATTCGATGTAAAGTTTGAGCCACATCATCTCTCCCACCGCGTCCTTTAGCAGGCCAGTGGCCGCCGTCACCCGTTCCATGTAGCGAACAACGCTCCACTGGCCTCGCTTTTTGCCTGAGGCGGTCTCGAGCGACTCCGGGCATGCCTCGAGGTACGACTGGACCATTGCAAAGCATTTGTCATCATCAGCCCTGGCAGTTCGTACAAACGCCTGCTGCTCCTCACCTTGTCTCGCTGCAAGCTTCGTGATGTTATCCAATGCTCGCTTGCACGGATAACACCCGTAAAACCCCGGAGGGCATTCTTCCACAGGAATTTTCTTCCTGCAGCCTTTGCAAAGCCTGTGCTTGGGACCTCTGCTGGATGTAGCCTTGAGAATGGTCTTTGCAACAGCTTTAGGCTTCGTCTTAGCCTTGGGATTGGCACTTTTCTTTGCAGACGCCTGGCTCATCTCTCCACTCACACGCCTACGCTTCGGCGGGGGAGAGACTCGGGCATCCTCTGGATTGTTCATCATCTCCGCCCACTCTTGGTCTAGTGAATCCATGGCCGACTCAACATCCACTGCTGGTCCTCCATCCGCCATGGAATGGACAGGAATGCACCGCTCAGCGGCTAAGCCGGCTAAGCGAGGCCGTGCAACCCACACCCCAGAGCCCGAAAACTGATCGCCTCTAGCATGGCAAGCGAGGCAAACTGCAACATCTGCCAAATCAGAAGCTGATGTGCACCATGTCAGACTGCAAGGAATGCTTTATTTCCGGAGCACAACGAAACATGTTCATGTCTGCACTGTCAAGACTTCCCTAATCCTGGCCATAGCTTGGCTTCGAAGACATGAGCCAACCGTCTGCACTTCGTTGCTTGTCATCATGAAGCTGGTATCGGTCTGCCCAGAAGCGATAAGAAACTGCTGCCTGGCAAGCAACGACGTGTATTTGAGAGTCTCTAGCCCACGCTGCAAATTTAGAAAGATTCTCATGCAAAGACTCGACACTGGCCTGCGGCTACACTAGACTATACTCTTTTGATCGGCTCAAACTGCTCAAACCAAGCTTCTACAGGCCGATACACTCGCAAATCTAGCTTCACATGGTATGTGCTCCAGCACACCCACGCTCACTCGCTCAGAGCTCAAGTTGCATCAGCATCTTTGGGTTCAAGAATATGGAAAGCCAACGCAAGGAACAAGCCCACCAGCCTGCATTGCATCGCATTACCTGTCATCTTTTTGGCGGCTCCATCTTTCAGGAAGATGTCGTCCTGAAACGGAAACGATCCGTCGTCCTTCATCCCTATCCCCATGCCGGGTACAGGCCAGCCCATTAGGACGAAGAGTTCCTCGCTGATCAAAACCCTCTCGTGCTGCATGGACCATACCCTTGAGCCGCATAGTATGGATGGCAACCCGGAGCCCAGCTTGGGTCTCCAGGCCACGTTCTGCGAAAGATCTACGACAGCAAGCTGATCCTGGCTGCCTTCTTGGTCCCGGGCAGCGGTTTCGTAACCTGACAGCCGCACTCTGTCCCCAGTGCTGAGAGCATCTCGGCCCAGGCTGGCCAATGACCAGTCCGCGCCATGTTTTTTCGCCTGGGCGATCAAAGCAGCCTGAACTTTCTCTTGTGGGGCACACCAAAAGTCGTGGCTGCTGCACTGAACTGAAGACCCACAAACTCCAGCGAACAAGTCCTCAGTAAGCTGGGCTCGACTCTGCAGGGCTTCCTTGCGCCACGCCAAGGTAAATTTTCGGGGACGCTGCATGGGGATGCCCACCGTGCTTGCCATCACTTTGACAACGCTAAACTCGAAGCCGCCGCCAGCAGAGAAAGCCATGCCAAAGGCACCCTCGCTGGGGAACATATGACTGCATTCGTGAAACACCAAGTCCACATTGCTCTTACTTGTTGCAGCAAACCAAATCGACGTGGGGATCGATGTCTCATGCAGCCAGCCTGATCGACCGCCCTGCGGGCTGAAAGCCACGCAAGGCGTCCCTGCGATCTCAAAGTGCAGGTCCCGGTGTGTGACCGGTGGATCCACAAGGCATTGTCGCTTGTGGCGGTAACAGTATGCCGTCTTCGATCTCTTGCCGATGCCGCACGCACCCGTGCCTACCGAAAGCAACTTGCTCATGCATTTTCCATCGCACTCCTGCTTCCAAGCAGCTTGCCTTTTCTGCTCGGCTGGCATACCTTCCTGCTGCCGCTGGCACCAGCTTGACCGCACAAACTCCAATCTGTCCTGGACATCCACAGAACACTTGTCACAGACACTTCCGAAAATGTGCATTGGCTGGAGTTTGGAGTTAGCCACTGTCTTGCGGCAGGTTTCGTTCACCTCCCACATGCTGTAGAAGCAAAAAGGAGGGAAGGTAGACTTTGGTTCGCCAAAGTCCGCCGTACCGTGCTGAGCCGCCAGGCGGGTGAGACAGTGCTCCACTGTGGCTATCCCAGAAAAGGAGCTGGTGACCCAGATAGTCCGATCAGCACCGGCAAAGTCACCAACCAAGTTCTTGGCAGATATGCCTGTTTTGGCAATCAGCCGGTCTGAAATATCTTCACGTGGCCACTCACAGAGCTCACCTACTGTCTTCGGGCCTGGTTCTGACTCAGCCAAGGCAGTGCCACATCTTCGGAACTTGCTAGGGCGATCCATGTAGCAGGACGAGACTGCTAGTGAAGTCGTAGGTCAGGCACGATCTACATGATCCGTTTTGAAGCACGTAGTCTGCTATTCGCATTTCTAGTTGGTTTCCGATCTTCGAGCTGTCCTGGTGAAACGCCTTTGAGCTTTCACTGCCACGGCAAAGCCAAAATGAGATATTGAGCCAAAAAAGTTCTTAAATAAAAAAAGATTGCAAAAGCACTCTAAGCATGTTCGCCAAGCTAATCATCCGCACATGTCTGCTTTCGGTTCAGCCTTGAGGAAGCTTGCAACGACCAGCCTCTGAACCCGCAACCCGAGGCGAGCCACCTCGGGCATCAATGGGCACAGGAACGTGTTGTATGTGTCCTATCCTTCCGAACAGCAGCAGAACAGGCAACGTAGAAGGGATGCCACTATTTACGTATCCGTATAAGACTACCGAAGCATGTCAGCATGTGAGGCACTGGGCTCAAGGCATCCAGAAAGGAAGTTCATGGCACCACCACTTTCTCCCGGCCCTGGCATGGGATGGCACTGCTGATTCGCACTCTGAATTTGTTGTGTCTCCCGGACCTAGATTCAACTGACAGTGCGACAGCGATTGCTGATTGACTAGACAAAAGTGACTGACGGTCCTACTGTCACGGATGACGGAGGCCTGGCCTGTCACCAAAGGAAGAAGCAATGCCGGCCCACGCCGGCAGCCGCCCGTGCCTTGTTGGTTTCAACTACGGTTGCAGGGTAGGGGCTTCTGGTCTGAGTTTCTACTCTAGGCTCGTCGGTTTCGGGATCGGGAATAGCAGCAGCAAGAAAAGACCCCCGCACAACAGCCGGCCTATAGCCCCATAATACGAATACAAACGTGTGGGGGAGCACTGAGCACTGGGCCAACACAGCGCAAAACTACGAAAAGTACTTACAGGCATGCACCAGGGGCCCAGGGGGCCAGCCGGGGCCCAAATAGAATCTTTTCGACCGACCTACATTCTTTTGGCCCACTTCTGCTGCTTCTGCTTGGAAACACTGGAGGCAAAGGCTTTCAAGGAGATTTTGTGGCTTCGTGGGCTTGGTGGATCCATATGGGGCCACTATGGGCCAATATGGGGCTCGTACTGGCTTCGAAGCGAAAAAAGAAGAAAGTTTGTGCTGAAACTGGTGGGTTCATGGTTTTGCTCAATAATGCTAATGTTTAATACAAACCGACCCAACCGTCGCTAAAGCGTCGCTAACCGTCGCTAACCGTCGCTAGGCCAAAACTAAGCCCTAAAACACGTCTTCTGGGTACCCCAAACCGTCGCGAAACCGTCGCTAAACCGTCGCTAAGTGTCGCTACTACTTTCCTTGACCCTACCCGGAACGGCCCGGAAACCGTCGCTAAAGCGTCGCTAAGCGTCGCTAAGCGTCGCTAAACCCGAACCGGGCCGTCCCGGACAGCCCCGGACCCCATTATCATCCCTTGCTAGCCCTCAACCGCTGTCACAACCGCTTGGTGCCTGGCCGACCCACTTTCCCAGCAAAAAGACCTCTCGGGCCCCAAAGGGCCTCCCACCTCAGAAAAACGGCTCACTTCACGATCGAATGCACCTCTCAGGACCTCGCACAACCCACACAGAGGAAAAAGCGCCAAAGTCGCTTCTGCACTGTCGACGCAAAGCTACTGAAGCCACAAAACTCTTCAACTGCAGCACTCCGGGGCAACGACCGCCGCATCAATGCAATGGCCCCCCCACCTGGCTTAACTGAACACACATCTTCCGCTGCAAGCACGTTGGCAGGTTTCTGCGGTACTTCGGGGCTGTCTGTCTCAGCTTGCACAATCTGATCTGTCCTGCCTACAACACCTTACTTCACCTTACAACTTGCAACGGAAGCCTTCCAGGCCGACCAAACGCGAGGCAAGAGTTCCTACAGTGACCAGGCCTTGCCATCACAAAGTATTGCGGCGAGCACCAACCAGCCGCCATGAAGGGACCTGCAACACACGCCAACTTATCTTTTGCTGCCGCTGCACAAAGCCCCCCACTGTGACGGTGGAAGTCTACACCGCATTGGCTAAGGTTACAGTCATGCTCTGCGATCTAGCCGGCTTACCACGCAAACCCAGGCAAAGATTGCAGTCGGCTAGGAAGTCCTGCCAAATTCGTGGGGGAGGGTTCTTGCTCAACACAACACACTGAAGCAACAAGTCTCTACACTGTCAGGCTGCAAGACGGCAACACAAGCAAAACCTGGGGCTGGCCTCCATCCACCGTGCTCGGGCGAAGTACGGAACAGATCAACTGCTTGAACTACTGGAACTGGAGCTGCTGCTGCTACGGCTGCTATTGCTGCTGCCGCTGTCACACTCAGACTCAGCACTACTGCTTGAACTGCTTTCGGGATCTGAAGCAGCTTCGTCGCCCCCAGCGGCAGGGGCAGGGGCACTTGCAAATGAAGGCCCGTCGTCTGCGACATCATGGTGAACGGAAGCCGATTTTGCCTTGGCTTTCGACTTTGATTTTGCTTTACTTTTGACTTTGGCCTGGGCCTTCGTCTTGGCTTTAGCCTTGGCCTTGGATTTCGCTGCAGCTTCTGCATCATCCAATTCCTTGTCCGTTTGCACACGATCCGGCGGCGGTTCAACGAGAGCCTGCTGCTCCACAACGGCAGCTGGCGGGATGTCTTCTGGTTTCAGGGACATGCGGAGATGGTCACGCTGTCTCGTATACTTCGTGGCCATGTTACACCAGTGGGCTAATGTAACATAGCACTCTTGCTCAGCTTCGGCTGACAAGCCAGTCAATCTAATGAACTTCTTGCAGCCAGTAGAAGTGTTCTTACGATGGTACCTACAAGTGGCCTCCACTCCACCGAAAGGTGGAGCAGAGCGGGGCTGCTTCCTGCTGAAGGAAAAGCCAGCACCATAGCCTGCACTGCTACGCTCTTGAAGGCGAGCCACAGTGCCAGCCAACAAGCTCGCCGAACTAAGGTCATTTGCCGCACTTGCAGCATCAATAATCCCTGCACCAGCTGGAACTGCTGGAACACTCTCGATGGAAGACCTTGCTGCTGGCGCTGGAGCCGCAGGTGCTCCAGCGGACCCGGCAGGCCCGGCAGCACTGGATGCCGCACCAGCACCACCTTCCTCTGCACCCAATTCAACCCCACCTTCGACCTCGTCGGCCTCTGCGATCAATCGCTCCAGATCTTCTTGAATTTCCTCTGTACAAATACTGGCCTTGTCCTCATCTGGACGATCCTCGCCTAATTCCGGATCATCCTGAACCTGGTCCTTCAAAGCGATACGAGCTCTCTTGCCAACCGGCGCAGCCGCGAAGTCCCCTTCAACATCTCCGTCCGTAACTTGCAACCTGGGCGCCTTCCGCTTCGCGGCGACATCCTCCAAGGCAGCCTGCAAAGCCTCTGACGAGGGCACTCCCGAGAGAAGGAGCTCGTAGGTCTTGGCCGGGGCGGCATGCGGTATCCACTCGGTGCCATGAGTGTGCTTCAAGTTCTCAGCATCTAACAAGCAGCACAGATAGTTTTTGTTTACATTCAAGACAGACGAATGCCAAACACGCGGCTCACCGACAATGTATTTCAACACCATACCTTTCCTGACTCTGGGTTTGGGATGCATCTGCCAACCTTCTGACCTCATTCGCATAAGAAGCTGGCCAAGCGAGCAATCCTGCAACGGGATGCCACGGCTGTCACCAAACAGGCTTGGCTGCTCCAGCCTACGACTAACCTGCAACTTGCGGATGCCCTCTACAGAAAGAATCCAGCCACCCTTGGACTGCTCCGCCACGCCGCATGCCTCACACTGTTGAAGCAACCGAGTCTGTTCCTGGGAGGGCCTTAGAAGGATTCCGCTTCTGCCTGCCAGACAGTCTTTGTCCAACATTTCAGTCACTAGCACAGAAAGCTCACTCGCATCCACACGCACGTTTGCAGGCAACGGCAACGTGAAATGGCGAGAGCTACTCATCTGCCACGACCGGAACCCTTCCAAGAAACCTGACACTCCCATTTCTTCAACCTTTGTCTCCAGATTCAGCTTATGCGCTTCTGACTGCAACGGCGAGACAAAAGGGGAATGAGGACCTTCAGACGCAGCATCGTGTTGCAGGACAGACACCAACATATCCCCGCGACCAACATCGGCCTGGACCCCCGGGGCATGCCTTGGCCGACGAATAGCTGATGGCCGCAATACAAGAGGTGTGAAGAACATGTCTCCAATCGAAAAAACACGAGACTGATCTTCCTCGCAACTTTCCTGCACGAACGCACTGACAGCACGGGCAATGATTGTTGCCTCTGACGCCTTGGGAGCTGCTGCAGCGAAAGGCTTGGCTAGCCTATCCTGTTCCTTTTGTCCCTGTTGAAGATTTGTTTTGGCAGTCGAAAGGTCGGCATGCTGGTGACGCGGGTCACGATAGAGGACATGTCTCACCACAGAAACGAACTTCGACGTTTGAGCTTTCTTGTCCAAGGATAAGATGTCCGGATGCTGGGCATGGGCAGGAAACTCTTCGCGAAACTTACGAATCTTTCGAGTCTTCTCAAAAGCCTCAACAAGATCAGCAAAAAAAGTTGAGCTGAGAGACAACCTGCGATTCAACTCAGGAGCCCGAAGTGCTATCGACAGTGCAGATGGGCTTTTGGAATTAGTCACCTTGCCCATTTCCTTGTGTGCACCTTCTATGATACGCTCTGCCACTTGCACAAAGGTAAGCTTCGCCAAGAATGTCTCTAGAAGCGGCAAGTCCTCCAAAGCTGATTCCCTTGACAAATAAGAGCCAAGTTCCTCCTCCATGAGGCTAGACGCGAACAATTCTTTAGCAACTGGGTGCTGCAGCTCGTGGGAATCGGCTGGCAACTCATTCCATGCATCCCTGGCGGCAGCAAGCAATCTCCTTGACACCTCGGGATCCGGATGGCAACCCCCTAAGATGGACCACGGCAGCTTCCCGAAAAAAGCCAGCCGCAGCTTGAGATTTTCACACAAGTACTGGCACCCACGCTTCCACTCAGCTTCCAGATCACTCCACTGCACTGCAGTCAACTGGCAATGGCAGTTCAACACTACATCGTTAAAACCCGTGGACAGCAGCTCTTCCCTGAAACTTTGCAGCTTCCCCTCAACAAGGAATGGCGCTTGGCAGCCCATCATGGGGCAGGTGCAAGATACCTCACGTGGGCAAGAAATTTCACCTCGCAGTTTCGTCTCTCGGGTGTGCGGGGTGCCATCTGCAAAAGGATGGCAAGAACAGCCTTCAGCCCAACGCAAAAACCGCTGCAAACAAAGGCGGATGTGTAGCTGCATCTCCCAGTAAGCATGGAAGAACCCGTCTTTTATCAACGCTGTCAAACCACCTGCTGTGAAGTTATCTTCTGCACTTGCGACGTCCGCATCGCCCGCATCCCGGACATACGCAACCTCATCCCAATGTAACCTCAGAAAAGTGAAAAGAGATTGTGCAGATTTCAAATACGAGGCCACTTCGCCCCATCGCTCCTCATACAGTGTCTTGGTAAACGATTTGAAAAGACTCTTACCGACATCGTAACTCGGCTTGCCTTGCAAAACCACCTCTACAAAACGGTCTCTTCGACTTGGTGATCCCAAGAACTTGTGTACAACACGCAGCTTGCTCAGAAAATCATCGAAGTAAGACAATGCTGAGTTCAAGTTGGCACTTGCATTGTGAACGGCATGACACACGCCTGGCAGATGAATGGCTGCTGGCATCAGGGCAGCATTCGAGGCAGCCTCTCCCTGCATCTCATAGAACCCTTCTTCAACAAACTCGGCATCCTCTGGACACACCTGAAGTCGACTGGGACGAACAAAGGATGGCAAGGTTGACTCTGGAGTGCTCACATGACAGTTTGGAAGACCAGCTTCTACACCCATATCAGTGACCCATGCCACCACGCTCTTTAGCACATCCGACATCGCAGAAACTGTGCCAGCTTCCAGAAGTGTGGAATGTACATGCGCACTGACTTTGTCCAGCAACGTCGTGCGGCCTTGGCCGAGGTATTGAGGGACATGTGTGTGTAAATGAACATTGTCAAACAATGCCTGCGAATGAACACAACGTTGCTCTGCTTGCTCTGAATCTTGATCATCCGAAGCTAGGTTCAAGCACAAAAACCTCCAGCCACGTGCGAGCTCAACCACTTTTGATAATTCTATGAAACGACATCGTGTGTTGTAGATTTCTCGGCCGCCTTTGCTGGTCGCATCCCCCCACGCATATCGCACCACCGGCCCCAACCGCGCCATCCGCGAACGATGCTCGCACAAAAGAGCAAGATCCAGAAAGAGGCCTCCGCGAACCACTGCGCTCTGGCTCGCCCCGTGCTTCTCGAAGTGGACTCGCAACACTTCTTGCAAGTCTGCTGGCACACAGCGCAAAAATTTCATGGCATGACGTTTGAAATGTCCCTGATTACGCAAATCCATCGCTGCCAAAACTTGAGCTAGCAAGCACTCTGCACTTCGACTGTTCGATTGATCCCGAAGTCCCCGACGAGAAGGCATCATGGATAAAGCATGACTTTCCAATGCATTGATACATATGTCAACCTCACCCTGTACACCAGCTGCAAGTTCCTCGTCCATCTCTTCAGAAAGCAAGTGCGGTGTGGCACGACGCAATAGTGAACTACAAAGACCTGCCATTCTCTCTGACAGAATTGCAGGCTGCCTGGGTTGTTCTGACTTGCCTTTATTCAATCGCACCCAATCCTCCGGCAAACCCTGGGATAGTGATGGCACTTCTGGGTGCGACCATCGAGCCAAAGCTACCACCTCTTTCCACAAACCTGCTTTGACCAGTTGAAACAAAAAATTCGGCAACAAGATACAAGGGCACTGGCTCAAGTCCAATGATGCAATCTCGGCTGGTTCCAACACGCTGCTCACAGGCTGCACTTGCCCATCAGGCGCCCCCGCCTTGCTGACACTTAGGTCTAGAATCAACCGATTTATGTCTGTAGGAGACTCATCCTCCGAGCTTCCAAGACTGTGGCAGGAAAATATGATGACTTAGACGACGACCTTTGCCAGACAGTGCAAGCCGAATGCCTCCAGAGCGCTTATTCTCATTCCATCGATGAGCCTTCCGCTGAAGCTCGCAAATATGCAGCTCGGTTTCCCAAGGTGGAAAAAAATAAGAACTAGCTATCTGAAGTAGGTACCCATCCAAAGCGCCTTTGTACACTGCACGCTGAAGAAACAATGCCTCCCTAGACCATGCTCCTCTCGATGCTGCATCAAAAGCTGCACCAACACGCACAGATACCAAACCACGCACCGGTACTGTTGTAGATGATGAAGCTGATCGATCAGGCGGTTGCAGCTTGACACCAGCATGAGCAAGCTTGTTTCGCAAGAATTCTGGAACGTAGGATGGCTCATGAGCGATCGATTCAACTTTGCCAACAACCTCGTCCAGAATTCCTAGCCAAGCCCAGGTCGCTGTGCTCGCTACCATAGCTACGAAAACATGGGTGACCAACATGTGGATTAACAAAAAGCCTGCCCAAAATGTGTTGTCCATGGCAAATCATGCTTCGGGTGCTGGAATGTGTTTCCTGTTTTAGAAGCTTATGGTGGAAACTGCTCAACTTCTGATTTATTGGTGGTATTTCTGTGTGAAATAGTGAGGGCCCAATGAGAGCCTCAGCTGCAGCTATCAATGCGGCAGATCATGAACACTGAATGTCAATGTCAAGCTCAAAGCTCGAAAAGCTCGGCACAAAACGATGTGGCAAATGTGTTGCATCATCTGGATGTTTGTGGGCAAAAAGCTAAATAAGTAACAACTCATAGGTTCACAGGTCGAGGACTTCGGGAGCCCAGCCCTTTCGGGAGCTCAATACCTCGACCATCGTCAACTGTTGGCCAGACATAGACTGACTGGTTCCGCAAGTCCGTTTGATTGTGCAAAGCGGGGTTCCTTCATGCGACGGCTCAAACCCGAAACCCTCAGCCATCTGCCACATGCGACTTTGCGGTGGAAAAGACACCGCCGAACCTGTGGCAACTCCGACTTGGACTCGGGCCCACCAAGTTGAAATGAAAAACCACGACTCTTCCAAGCTGTTTAGTAATCGCAAACCACTCAAGCACGCCCCTCCTCCAGTTTCAGTTGCAAAAGACGGGGTTCTAACCCCCTCCCCCCCCCCCTCCCCCACCTTGCCCCCTCCCCCCCACCCCATGTGCCGATACACCCACAAGGATATGCTCCTTGTTAGGAGGTGTATGACCAGTTTATTCCCTAAGGATCAAAGGGCAGCGCCCTGCACACGGACAGTAGTTGTTTTGTCTTGCTACGCAAGGAGAGCTTGTCTTGTCTCAATATGGTAAAACCACTGTGAGCCAATGGGCAGCGGAATGTATATGTATGAGCATGCAGCCATTGCTGTAGGTACCTGTTAGAGCTACCCCTTTAGAGGTTTATGGTTTCAAACAGACACTAATTTTCTTTTACCGGAAGCATGGCCGCACATTCACACATATACTATTATGCCCACTGTCACAGTTGCGGAGTTTGGACTCATGATAAAAACAGCATATTGTTTATGCTAGGTATAGCACTGAAGTACACTGTTGAGGTCACTCCTTTTGCACACACTCATGCATGTTGGTCAGAGAGATCATCTGTACAAGATCAGGTCTGGTAATGTTCTTCTACCGAATTATGCAGCCCTTCATTGTGCTCTTGTTAGAGCTTTGTGATTCACTGTTGTGAAACTCTGAGAATTTTCTTATCTCAGATTCGGATCCAGGTTTGGATCATAGGCTCGAGCATAGACGTTCGGATGTGGTTCATCCGGGTCTGAGTGATCTTCTTCGGAACTTGAAAAGATTCCGAGTAATCTGTTCTCAGCCCTGGTGAAGGCGGCGTCTGCAGTTTCATATCCATGGTTGGATGTAGTCGCCTTTGGCTCGGCCTTTGGTGCAGCTTGTGAGCTGATTGGAGTTGCCTCGGCTTTAGCCGGTTGTGGCTGCTTAGCCCTTGCCCGTTCGGCCCTTCTTCTTTCAAGCTGTCCGTCTGAGGACGCCCATGATCTTTCACTTTCATCTCCTGAGGGAGATAAGGCGTGGGCATGAAGGCTGTTCCAGTACTGTGCTGCAGAAGGAGTTAGGACTTCTTCATGGTCAGATTCTGACTGGTCTTCCTCAGAGCTTTGGTCGTCGAAAAGTGTCTCAAGGACATTTTTGAGGTTTTTATGTCTTCGCTCTATCTCTAGTGAGGAATGGACCAATTGATTGAAGACTGTTTTTGAGTCCTTCAGTGCTGTTAGAAGGATTTCCACTCTGGATAGAGTATCTTGGATGGTGTCAAGATGATCCTTTCTTTCCTCCTTGTCTCTCTGGATAGAGTTTCGCAATGATTGTGCGATTCTGAGGAGGTCGAGATATTTCTGAATAGGCATAGTTGCCGTATGATTGTCATGTATGACAGTTGTTTCGTCGCTGCTCAAGTTCCTGAATAGGACTTCCACGACTGGTAGAAACTCCGTGCTCCACGGTTCCTCTTCATCATATGTTTCTACATGCTGTTGCACGCGTTGTGTAAACTGCTCGGCTGCTTCTACCGTTGCATCGATAGAGCTGACGTGTCTTACTGCCATGTTTCGGCACATAGTGTTAATGGCCTGGCCTTGATTGGCTTCGCCAAGTGCAGCGTCTGCATGGTTGCAGAGTCCACTGTTATGGGCTTCTCTAGCTGCTTTTCGTTGAATGCGCCGATTTTGACCTCCTCTTCTGGTAGGACCTTTTGGTCTCGGAGGATCTGAAGGTACTGTTCCTTTCGCCTTTGGCGGAGGAGACTTAGGTGGAGGTGACATGTTTGCCTTGTTAGGCACTGGTGGCATTGCCTTGGGCACTGACGACGATGAGGCACTTGCGAGTGCAGATGTACCTCTGGCTCTTGCCGAGGATCCCTTAGGGATTGATGTATAGGTAATCTGCATGGCTTCTTCGGCCATTTGTGAATGCAATGCATCACTGAATAATTGCCTCATATGAGGAGTAGTACTTGCATCGTCATAGGTTTGAAACCGTTCAATGTCCCTTTCGGTGCCACGTGATCGTGTATCACCTCTTTGAAAAGGATCGTTCCTGCGAATCTCCGCAACTTGTACTGCCTGGAGGCAGGTTTTACACAGCACCTTCCTTGAAACATCTTTTGCTTGCTTGAGCTGGTAACAGCTGTCTGAAAGATGGTAGACTTCGCTTCGGGAAGTGTGCCACACAGGTCGCAAATCCGTTGTTTCTCCAGAATTGACCCTGTTGGGTCCTAAAGGTTCACGCGTCTGTGGTTCATTCTCGGGTTCGAGAAATGGTGGTGGTCGTTTCGCTGCTGCTTTTGCATTTGATTGTTGGCGGTCCATACATCTGATGGGAGCCCTGGTGAGCTGCTTCCACATCCAGTGTAGGCCCATTAGCAGCAGAAACACATTCCACGCGATGCTGAAGACGGAGAAGTCTTGCTCACTGGTTAGTGAGTTTGGAAGTGAAGGTTCATCAGTCTTGATAGACTCTGCGTTCGCTCCACCGTGGTTACGGTGTCCGAACCAGCCCGACAACCCCGCTGCTGTGGCAGCTGTTCTGAGTGCCTTGCCGCTCGGAGCAGACGGTGGGCGTGATGCCTTCCTTCTTCTCCTCCGGCTGGAGGATTCGTCCTCTTGTTCCTCTTCATCTCTTTGAGCAGACATCAGGTTTGATGTTTCTCGTTCGTGCTCTTCGATATCACTCTTTGTTGGAGAGTGTTCTTCTTCTTGTTGTTCCTCAAGCGTGTCCAGTTCCTCTAAAGACATGTTGAGCTTGTCAACAATATTGGTTCTTTGAGGTCTGGACCTTGATCTTGGTAGATCTTGTTGTGAAGAGGACGATGATGCCTGGCTCCTTCTTGGAGGAGAGCCTTCAGGCTCGCTGGGACGTTCAGGCCTTGGCCTTTCCCAGAATCTTCCATATCTGTGATAGCTACCTTGTGGTTGCTGTTTGTCGTACCAGCTGTTGCCGGATGAATACACAAATGAGTCTTTGTAATCCCAGTATTCAGCATTACGCTGCTTGTAAGCCTGTCGCTTGTTAGCGATCTTCTGAACCTGGGCATCTGACCGGTTGTGTTTCCCTTTTGTAAGGATTGGTTGTATCGTGAAGCCCAAAGGGCTGTGCCAATCTTTGTCAGAGGGACTCAACCACAGGTCAAGGTTAGAAAAAGTTGAATAGTACTGCTTGACTGAGACAAACAGACGGATATCGATATCCCTGTTTCTGTTCATGTCCTGCCACATATCTGAGACTCGTTCCCAGTATGTTCTTTCGGCGGCAGGTGTAGCATCTCTTGGACTAGGTGACGCCGTGTGCGGCGTTTTGCTCCAGTCAAGGATATAACTGTTGATACAGTCGAGGTCAGCAACTTTCTTCGCCGGGTCCGGCGGTAGACGATCTGCACGTGCCAGTCTGTGCTGGTCAGAGTTGTTCAAGCAGAGGTGTCGCACTTGTGAGTGCCTTCCTGCTATTCTGTTGAATGCTGCAAGTTTCTTCTCCAGGTATAGAGAAAACAAACCGTTTCGCGGGTGAACGTCTCCACCTTTTAAGGTGAGCCTCGACGCAATATTATTGAGATCCCCCGCAATTACATCCGGTTTGAAAGGGAGAACCTCGTTGAGGAACGCGTTCACCAGTTCGCGCCTCTGTTCTTCCTTATGAGTCATGTATGAGTTGAAATGGACGATCGCGATGGTGATGACCTTGTAAGGCCCTTTTGTACACCACATCTCGTCAAGATCGTTTGATGCTTCTTGTGAGAAGATCTCTGCGTATGACTCAAAGTCTTCCTCTGGTGGCTCATCACCCTCGACATGGCCGTTCCATTCACAGAGAACCGGCGCAGGGTCGAGGTCCGACATTGTCAGACACGCCTCTGGTGAGAGGTAAGAGCCATCAGTGGGTCCATCCTTGTCAGGATTTTTACCCTTGAGAGGGTCATATCCGATAATCTTCATGAACTCATCTCTCGTCATCCTCTGGCCGGAATATGGGTGGACCCATTCTTTTGCCTCCTTGATGGTACTGTGGTACCCAAAGGTGAGGCGGCATACCGCACCGTGGCATGCCCACAGTCGCTTCTTGGGACCACCAGCCTTAGGCTTCATTGTTCGGTGACGGTAAAAGTGGTGGACGAGAGAGATGTCTGTTGTTGGGTCACCCTTGACTCCAATATACATTGAGGGTGCCTCAGGCTCCTTGGGAGGAGAATGATTAGCATCCCTCTGTATTCATGTTTTCGCATGGTTGCGATCGAATACTTTGACGCAAGTGCTCCTGCCTCGAGTACGAGGGTAATATGTGCTGAATTGTTGAAGCACATGTCAATAAGAGGGTGGTAATCGAATCCCTTCTCAGGTTTGAGTTTCTTTTTGGGATTCCCTGCTGGCACCGGCGCTCGATCCATATTTCCCCAGTTGCATACCACTAGGCTTAGTGATACGCTGTCTGGGTTTG